ACCACCCCCGCCAGTGTGATAATGGCAGAAAGTGATGAAGACAACGTGACGCTCTTTGCCGACCATATAGTTTCTCATAGCGTGTATCCAACTTGGCAACCTTTAAGGAGAAAGGCAAGACACCGCAAGACCCCCTAACCATTGTTAACGATTTAGCAAACCAAGCTCACCTGTTGAAAGCACTGCATTTTCCCGACGGATAGCACTCTGCCCTGACGACATCGTAAACGAAATGCTAAAAAAGCTGCCGCCGGTGGCGATTAACCATTTCCTGTTTGGCAACTTCTGCAATGTCGCTTGGATCTTTCCCATTGCAATGGGAAACGGTCAGTATCTTGTTGCTACCTAAGACCCCGAGGGTTTTAGCGGGCTTGTGGGCAAAACCAAAGAGGCCGCTTTACTACAGGCTGGAAGAGTTTATGAAAACACACTTCCGGAATTTTAATTCGTATTTCGAAGAGGTCACTCCGCGACACAACAACTTTTGCGCTTTGTTGAGTGGACAACTCAGAACTTCAACTTTAAGAAACCCACGCCGTCGTCCTTCTCGACGTTGAAAAGGCCTTTGACCGCGTATGACACGAAGAGCCCCTGCGCAAACTACGCACATTAGGTACTTCTTGGGCCCTCTACTGCAAACTTGCGCCGTTTCTATGCAGACGCACCTTTTGAGTGAGGGTTAGGGCTGCGCTGTCGCCATATCATTGACTGACAGCTGATGTTCCGCAACACTTTCTGCTCTCACACCCCACTCTTCGCTCTATACATGCGAGATATTTCACTCTCTGCGAACCCTCACACCGCGTTACGCTCTATGCCTATGACACTGCAGTTTGCGCGTCCTCAAAAAGTCCTTCATTATTACGGCAACACCTGCAGCATTATTTGGAAACATTTATTAAGTAATGTCGGCAATGGAGAGTGAACATTAATGAAACGAATAGAACAGCAATCTTCATCTCAAAAAGATGCAGCACGATACACCAACTTTAACCTTCTAAGATGTTAAGATCCCATGGGAGCCCCAGGTTCGAATACCCGGGTGTTGTCATTGATAAGCGACTAACCTGGCGGCAACACGTAGAGTTCGTCACGACCAGTGTGCTAAACGCACAATAAACTGCGCCTTCACAAAGTATGCGTGCGCCCTATTACGGCCTAGCATCTGTTGCTTGGACATATGAAAAACCGGCGAGGATTGCACTACTTTACACGCAGCAAAACAGGTTCCTGCGACTAATGACCGGTGCACCTTATTTCTTGCGGAACGACACATTACTTGACGACATGGGTTTGAAACGACTTGAAATCATTTCGAAATGCAATCCCGTTCCTTTTGAACGTGTTTTTTGGCATTCAAACCTCCAGTGGATTCAAGAAACCCTGGAATGTCTTTCGCTTTCAGAGGTCCTGCGATGCCCTTCAAGCGCACAATTACAGTTTTGTTATACCTCAAACACATAGGTGTAAAGTTTATTGTGAGATGACTTGCCGAAACCGAATACGCTCTAAACCTAGTAATATAAATTATTTGCGAGATCAAGCAGTCTGTGCTCGATATTACGAGCATCTACACGACTTAATAAAATTAAATAAAATGGGTCTTCTGGGCCTCTCTTCTTAACCTCTCCTTCAATTCTATTAGTTAACTGGGCAAAATAAACGGTGGCTGCTCCGCGCTCTTTTGTTGATTACGTGGTAATTTTATGTTGTGCTCCAAGGGTGGCTAGAGAGTTATCTATTTTTATTAAATTAAAACCATTACAACCGTTTCCAGCCCTAGAAATCTTAGGATTATATCAACTCTAAAATTTCGTCTATAATATACTAATTCTTTAATTTTTGGCTCTGTAAGAAACAACAGTATTATAATAAATGGCTTATAAAGTATTTGGTTTTTTTTTGCGTATTTTCTGGGTAATAGCCATCTTGCTGTCTAATACTGACGCCGAGTAATCTGCCTGTTAAACGGCCAGTTTTAAATTAGAAATGGGTTCAATATTATTAAATAATGTACAGCCAGCTAAACTTAAAGTTACTTTTATATTTATAAGGCACACTTTCTTTCTTCTTATGGCGTTCTTTTAAAATGATGTTCTTAAATTTGTACGTCAGCTTTAAATAAGGTAACGTCCCTAAAGGATTGTACACAACTTAATTTAATAGTTTAAAAAGTAAAAATTAAGTTCGCCAGTCTTACTAATAATTGGCATTTAAAGTTTATAAAGTGTTCCAGCAGTTTGAATATATGTCTTGTTAGGCAAGAGTAGGGGTTATTTGTTAAAAATCTCTAGCAGTTAAGCGAGCTTCATTTAAAGGTAATCTCCGTGTTATTATTATTCTTCTTCATAGTCGGTTTTTAAGATCCGTCGTGTTCTATGTTGAAAAGTAGTTCTTTTTCATGCCTATAATTATACCTTCACTTGACCTTAATATATATCTAGTTTTAACTTTCTTTAAATTCCTTTAATACCGCTGTTAGCTTATGGCATTTTACTTGAATTTTTAGTGGGGCGTAGACGTTATTAATTAGTTCATAAAGTAAATTAGTCAAAAAATTGTCTAGATAATTTGTATTAAGCCGGAATTCACGTATCATTTTTCCTTCTTAATATTAAAATTTTTGATGTTGCTTTTTAATTTGTAACGTAGTAAAGTCATTGTTTTTGGTAGGTAATGTTGTTGGTGTAAGTTTTTTATCAGCTTCCAAAGGTTATGTATTAAGATGTTCTTCAAATAATTTTTCCTTAAGTTGTGCTTTTTTCGCCATTTTCTTTCATAAAAAATTAAAAGTTTCTTAATTCGTTTGTATATAAATCGAAGTTAAATTAATAAATTACAATATTTCTTACGTATGTTAAAATATTTACAAACGCGTACAAAGCAACTGAAGCATATAACTCTTTCTGATACAGGTTTAGTAACCTGTAATCATACCGTGTTTAATAGAGGGATTTTGATAACAAGGCACCTTCATCAGACAACCTATAATTTCCCGTAGAGTCATCGTTGCTGAATTGTAAGTTGTCGTCATATTTGAATTTTGTCGTCCACAACTCATCTTCATACGAAAGTAGGGTGGACGCTAGTTTAGCCGAAACTGACAATTCTTCCAAAAAAATTCATTTATACTTCTTACCTCAATTTGTTTGACTTAACGAAGTCTCTGCTCACTTTGATAACAAGTCAGATTTTTCCGACGGCCCGGGTTCCGGCGAGATCGCAGCCCCAAACCGCAAGTAGAGTTGTTGGGCACAATTGATGGGTGTGAACCTATTTACTAATTTTAAAATACATGGTTCCAGCAAAAATGTTAACAGTAATGTTTGTCCTTTAAAGGGCTGGAATATGTTCGAGGGTATCTGTCCCTTCCCCTTATCATGTTCTTCGTAATAGGGTACACCTTAATATGAATAAATGAATTCATTTAAGATAATTTTGTATCTTTAATTGTTGGAGAATTCTATTTTTCGTGTGACATTATGCGTGTCTATTTTTTTTGCTCAACCTCTATTTGTCTAGTGTTTAGCTTTTCTTTGAGGGTGTTTGTGAATTCGCCTAGTTCGCCGGCTCTCACTTATACAATTATGGCTGCTTAGGTGTTTTTTTGTTAAATTTTTAAGAATGCTATAGTTTTTCTTTGACCTAACGTAACCTGTTCTCAAAATAAGTGTATTAGCTTACATAGTTTCCTAATTCCTATTGTTATGTGTTAAGCTTTCTTTACTAATTTAGCTCCCTTTAATTTTGCATGCTTTACATCCGAAAATAAAAAAGGTTTTGTAAAAGTTAGTGTGTTTTTTAAACTACAATTCTGGATGTGAAGTGCTCTAAAGGTAAAGTAGGTTGTGGGTTCGTACTGGTTAACTTAACAGTTTTACTTTAAGATTTATAATTTTGTCGTCTTTTTGAAAATAAGTTAAAATTTTTCATAATCTTATATTTTTTTAAATATAATATATAAAAACACCATTTTTTTAAATAACTTTGTTACCTCCGAATATAATTTAAGGTGTATCCGTTTCCATCCCGAATACCTAGTTATAGTTTAAATAGTGAATGTACCCGGTTTATTTGTTAATGACAAAGCTAGTATACAAAGAGAAAATTAGACCAGTATGCTAGCCTTGAACTCTTAACGCTATTCAAAGTAGTAGAGTTCTTACAGTACAACCTCGCTTTAGGTCGTGCTTCTTTACCAGTTATTATTTCTCAACATGACTTGGCCCAAGTCAAGTTAGAAAACTACTCTCAATAGTAGTATCGATACTGAATCACCACACATACATGTCTACAAGGTTCATTACCCTGATTTCGATAGTTGTCCAAGAATAAAAGTTCATAAATTACTTGAAAAAAACAAAAATTTCCACATGAGCATCAATAATACGTTGACAATCGTCGGTTGTATTTGCATTCGGTGCAAAACTGGTATTGGAGCTTGACTTAAACTTAAAAAAATATCTTTTCAAAAAAGTAAAACAAACTTTAAAGGCTTTCCTGTGTAACTCCTAAAGTCTTGTAGAAGAATTAGTGCATATATTTTTATTGTTAAGTGGGGAATTTATTGCCTCTATTCGAAACAAAAACATCTTTTAACACCTGAAGATCCGCTTGTTATCTGTACTAACTGCTATTAGTCAGTGAGTTCTGAACGCTGTTATAAACCAAGGCAAGGCAGGAAAGGGCCAACTCCTGGCAGTAGTGGTTCGGACTGTCTCTTGCAATGTCTTTTAAAGGTAGACAAGGTGAGCAGTGGAGAAAACAAGGAAAAAACGCAGAAACCTTTAAGCCAGCTGCCAACCTCGTCAAGTTCATAGAGGAGAGCTTGTAAGCCGGAAGCCGGGAGTGAGGCCACCGCGCAAAACAAAGCAAATAAAGCGGAGCGCACGACATAAGGCTGCGGATGGTACTTGACAGCGTGTACTAACTCGATGCTTCATATGAAAAAGAAAAATACTACCGACCGTCAAACGGGGGAAATGGGATCTACGCACATTGTTTTGGCGTATGAAGTGGAGTTAACAGACTGGGCGGCAGCCCTCATGATAGCAGCCAGCGTGTTCAACAGCGCAGAGAGGAGATGGCCTAGAACACAGAAAGCCTGTCATGGAGGAAGAAGAATGGCTATCGGTTTTCTACCCTCGCTCATTAATTGGTACAAGTTGGCATCGTCCCTATTGTACTGGTGAAGCAGACCTTTGCAGAACCATGAAAAAAAAAAATTCGGCAATGAGAAAACCGAGGCACAAAATATACCATAGAAAAAGTAATTGGATATTCTGGCGAACTTATTTGCCTTGGCACGAGTTGTTTTAAACCTCTCCGCAGCAAAACGTCGAGTGTTTCTAGCAGAAAATAATAAGTTTACGAATTAAAACCTATAAAAAGTGCCACCTCCCCAAGAGGCTAAGAACCTCCTCGGAGCTGCTGATAACTTTTGTTTCGCAAGAATCTAATATTAAACTACTTATGGTACTGACTTTTGCAAAAGAAAGAAACCAAAAGGCAATATCAACCTTTTAGCCGAACAAAGCAGCTCATCCTTGCTTCCGCCCTCCGAGGCAATTTCTTGAGCGCTAGCACTAAAAACATGTAAGATATCCAGCCGCTATAGAAAGAAGAAACATCAATAAGCTTTTCAAGGCACAAAACAAAGAGCGTTAAAAAGCTATCCTGCTGTAGACTGTAGTTAACGGCGTAAAACTCCGTGGACAGAAAGGTGGCAACTTTTTCGGGACAAAAGACCGTCAAAGCAACCATGGACTTTATTCTCACTGATACTGCTAAGTGGGCGCCCGTAAAAAATATAGATTTACTAGTACTTTCTGTAAAATTTTCAATAGAATAATCATCTTGTAAGTGCAGTAAAATCTTCGCCAGTTCCACGGACACCTAACAAAACATGAAGGGAAAAAGGCCTGCTACAAAACGAAGATGAACCTCAATTAAGGCCTGCAGTCGCTGAGGATAGTGTGCCCTTATTAAATTTTCACAGGCGCCAAGAGCTGATTCCAGGCGGTCCGGATCGTTTACAGCCCTTCAGTGTAAATAGAAGTTCCGACCAACATAAAACTGTAAATAGCGCAAAAGCAAATACTGAAGGGCTGCCAAGCAGTCCCTCAAGTGGACGGGCGGATTGACCTTGTGTTGACCTTCTTCAAGGTCCTCCTAGATGGAACGGCAACCATTTGTTAACCGGGTAATTAAAGGGTCGATCATAATAAAGCACCTCCTCCGGGATATAATAAGGAGTCAAGTCATCGCTGCTATCTTCAGACGTAGAAATTTCGTGTTCTTTCTCAGAATTACTCCCGTTGTTATCAAAATATTCACCGACTGGATCAAAAGTTTCTTCAAGAACCCCTTGTATAAGTTAAAAAGTGGGGCCTCCACCGGAAAATTAGTTAAGAAGATACCCTCCAAAGCTGGATTATCTATCGGAACTTCGCAATTATTAGTGCAGATAATAAAATTGTATATAACAGGCGACAGGTAACAAAAAAGTGGTTTAGAAGTTGACCTACCATCAGTTTAAAAAAATCTGCTAAATACAATAAGAGTGGTGATTAAGAGAATCTGAACTTGTAGATTTTCTTCAGCAAAAGGGTTTCCTTCGTATCAGCGTAATCGAACGACAACGCATCCACACCGGATGGGATGAAGGCATTGGCGCACAACTCAAGCAGAGCCAACCCCGGGGCTTGGTCTTCTGCGCAGAGACTGTTAAGAACCTCAATAAGCAAAGCCCTGCATTAATAGAAGGAAGTGTACGCATTAAGCGTAGTCCTAGCGGCGTGGGCCATGTGCGATAAGAACATATCCTTTTTTTTTTCAATCTCATCGCTGTCTATAAGTGGGAGGCAGCACAAAAGAGCCACCGATATGCATATGCGCTAGTGGGGACTGTCACAGAACTTACATATAAAGGCGTAAATGGCAAGCAGACACCTGAAGGGGTGTACTGTCGCTGAGAAATGAAGCGCTACTCCACACCTCCATCAGTTTGCAGAGTAGTAGAGTCGTGCTTTTAGGGGAAACCAAAGCCAAAAATCGAATAATAGCTACAGTAGCGGCCGGGTGGTGGATTCTGCGCAATTACAAGTACTATATGTCACAAAACGTTTTTAGCTGCAGTTGTAACATTATTTTGCCCCGCTTTTAACACCCGTGCCTCGATAAAACTAACCACAAACATGCATTTATGTAATTGTTATTAAGTAGAGCAGAGCTCTCGTCCTTCTTGTTAGAAAGAAATACTTTTGTTTTAAGTAAAATTTATATCAGGCACGCGTGCTATAATGAGTAAAAAAAATATATAAACGATACCTTAAAATAATATATTTGTCAGTTAACAAATATAGCACATAAGAGCGTAACTCGATTTCTTCACGGTTAGGTGCAGTTAAAGTATTTTGAATTTTGTAAAGAGGCACGAAAATTATAATAAGTATGGAAATAAATATATCGGTGTTAATTTTTAAATAATTAGAATCTTCCAAGGGAGGCAATATGCTTTTTAAGTTCTCTTCTTCTTCAGCGTTGAAAACGCTGCATCTGAAAAACAACTATATGTAAAGATTATTTATAAAAAAAAAAGGAAAAAAAGGACCTAGCTGCTAGGCAATCTACTAGACGGTCCAACGCCTGGCTGCTCATATTATTAAATATGCAAAACAATTTTTTATTAGCTATAAGAATTTTATTATCCAATTTGGATGACGTAGATTCGTTTTGGTTTAAATCACAAGCGGTTATAGTAGAGTAGTGAAATCTTATTAAGTAATTGGCGACCACAGCGACTTGTCCCCTCAAGCACAATGCACTTAAAATAGCTGGATAGGACGGTGCGATAACTTCATCACTTTCTTTGTTAGTTAAATAATCTATGCAACTTTTTTCAGTGTGTCTGAAAATAGAAGCAACAATCCTATCAAAGTAAGGCTTTTTCTCTAGTAAACCGAGCTGAACCGAAAAGGTTCGCCCAATCTTATTAAAAAGCCTATCGGGTAATGACACAAGGCAACGTAGAAATTCATCCAAGTGAACACTATTATTAATTGTTTGCAACTTAATTCCAGTAAAACTTTTATACTTCATGAGGAGTAAATCAAAAGTAGGACTACTCACGAAGCATTTTAACAGATGTATAACCTATAATAAAAATGAGGCTACAATATAAATTTTGAACCCAAAAAAAAGGTTACTTTTTTGATTTTAGGGGTTTGAAGGGATGTGTTTAGATAATCTGAAAGTTTGAGAAACACTTCCTTGCTAAGGTAGGTGTCAGTAGTGAGAAAAAAGAAGTCAAAAAAGTAACTTTGTTTTTCTATTGTTAAGCAACCTGTTGTATAATAATAACTTAAAACAATAGTACAAGCTCAATAAGCATCTAAATAAGCTGAAACCAATCCAGGAATCAAAAAAACTATTTAGCAATGAATCCAAAAATGCTAAGTATGTTGTAAAATCTTCTGAGTCAGGTTTCTCAACCGTAAGCTTTTCTTTGAAAAATTAAGGTTTATTAACTAAAGTGACAATATATTTGGCACAAAATACCATGAAGAGAATTTAAAACAAAAATTACTTCCTCTAAACTTTCGGAATAGTTAATTATTTTAATCGCATCGAGTAAGTATGTTTTAAGCATCTATGAAATGTCGTGTAAGAGTTTATGGCGACAATAAAATTCTTTGCAAATCGCGTAATAAGAATGGAGAAGTCTTAAATCGAAGCCTTAGCGGCATGGCGACTATAAAGAGCGAGGGTTGAATGAAGGGTTTTAGGGCGTGTAATATAGTAAACGTAAGAGTTGATACAAAGAATGAAAGGTTATAGTTCTCTCAGTGTCGGGACATCCGTGTAGGTAACTCTCAGGAAAATAAATATCGCATGTTATAAATAAAAATTGATTTCTATGCTCGCCATAAGGTTAACTATATAATACTATATAACTTAAAAATAAAATTAGAATCTACTCAGTTTTTGTTATAGACAAAGAAGTTTAAGTAAAATTTAACTTCTATATCCTACTTTTTCGACAATTAGATAAGACTTGCAGCACCTCGGGTTCCGCTCACCACAATATATATCACCCTATATTTCATATTAGTTAACCTTAATAATTTATCGGCGTGACCTTTTATACTTAGCAAATGAAAAGTTTACGATCTTTTTAGTGGCTTACTGGTAGTTCCATACTTTACAGCATAGAAAGAAACTGATTTGTGAAAGTTACTACTTCTGGCGCCTGGAACTACAATTTTTTAAAAAAACCTATTTTTTGTAAAGACTAGATTTTTGCTTAAAATATTTATTTATAAGAGTTTTTCATCTTTTTAAATTGTACAGATATAATTATTGTAGGCTATAAATGTTAGTAAAATCTTATAAGTGTAAGTAGTTAAAAACTTTCAATATTATAAAGTCATGACATCTGTCTAGTTTTTAAAAGTGTTATCCTGACAAAGGATGCTTTGATACTTTTTTTGTTTATAACTAGGTTTTTTAAAATAAATGAGGCCATGTACTTTACTTTTAATTAATCGCATTGAAGGAAATGTTTTTTTTGAAAATAGAGAAACTGATAGCAAGGAAGTAAACTACTTAAATAGAAGCTCAAAGGGAAGGATGATTTAAAGCTATAGTACTTTAATGCGCAAGTATGATAAGGTATAAAGGTATATAAAAAATTTATTCTATTAAAAGGTTTAAGGTTACCAAATAATCAAAACCAAAAGATATAATATGAGAAACACTAATTATTCATTTAGTAACTCTGAGCTTTCAGAGGCGCACCACAGCCGCCACCCTAAAAATTAAACAGAAAAAAAAAGTTTGGCGCGCATGCCTCCCTTAGGGTGTGCCCTTAATTTGGCCAACCCTCACTTTGTATTAAAAAAAGAGTGCATAGTAAAAATTAATTTTTCTAATTGTGTAATAAATCTTTAGTGTTCAGAATCCTCTTTTCCTTTCTTCTTGCTTAATAAATATTTTATTGTTTTGTATAAATACTTCTTTAGCCTTATGTCAATTTTTTTTGGAAAGACGTGTTAGAATAAATATTAATTAAAATTATTACTCTCCTATGTGATGGATATTATAGTTTTCAAAAGGTCCATTATAGCATGCAAGTGCTAACAGTAAAAAAAGACAGACACGTGAATGTTTGCGTCGAGTTTCTTTTTTAGATGGCGTCGCGACTTGGCGCCTTTGTTGTCAAAGCTAAACGTTGGTTTAGAGGATCAGAGTTACTTTTGTTATTGTTTCACTTTAGCGGATGGGAATAGTATAAAATTTAACATCTATAAAGCGTTTATGTTAATATTAAAATTAATGAAAGCAATCTAGGGGACTACTAATTTAATATATTGTTTTTAGGTAATATAAAACAATTTTTAAACAGTTTTTCTTTCATAATACTAAAAATTTGGTATTGAACCCTATCCAAAAGAAAAATGGAGATTCTCTCGTAGCACGCTAGGCTTAAAGGCTAAAACTGCTTCTCGAATGGATTCCCAGTTTAATGTCTGCGCTTAATTTATCGAGCAAATTCAGAAGTCATTAGTTATAATAATAGTAAATATTTTTGATGATCAGCTTGTATCATAAGTTTGACTTTTTAAGTTATTTAAATGTTTTTATCTATTTTTCTTCATAATTGACATTTTTAATATATTGTTTAGTGAGTCAATTACTTTTACTATTAATTACTCAGTGTATAATTCGTAAATTTCGATTTAAAGAAAAGTTCTTTAGGAAAATGCTATTGGCATCGAGTTATAAATACAATGTTGCATAGTTAAGAATATTTTTATACAAGCCTAGTTAATATTGGTTAGAAGTTAATTGTTTTATTCTAATAAGTACTAATAATAAACAATGTAATAACCCGTAGTAAAAATTTATATCTGGTCGGATCTAAGTGTTCAGTTAAGCCTTAGCTTTAATATCAAGAGCTATGAGTTTTATTAAGATTCTTGCGAAGCCTTTTTTATTCTATTGAAAACCAAGTATATTTGACGACACATACTTCATAAACCCTACAACATGATGCTTATAATATTTATAAAAACTGTTTACAGCAGTAGATTAATAAATTCAGTAGCACTGAAATGTAAAAGCTCACCTAGTAAAACTTTAACAGGTGTGATTCTTAATCAAAACACCGAAGTAACCATCAAAGGCAAGTCTCACCATTGCATACATCGTCTATGACTCGAAATATTTTCAACTTAAAAAGATAAAAACCGGTTTTTAACAATTAAATACAAGCTTACATATGTCGAAACATTCATATTTATTAAAAATTCGAAACAGTAACAATCACCTTAACTAACGGAGGTACCTAGTAGATGGCCTTTGCCTGACTGAACTTCAACAAAGAAACGAATTACTCAAGACTGAATCTGAACCTCAACGTTGCGATGGATACCAATGTGCTTCCCCCTGATCCCAATATATACAGTTTGGACATTTGCAGACAACTGTAACAGATTATACCTAACTTTCGATTATTTAGTAATAAAGAAAGCGAAATACGTTTCTACAAAGCTAAACGAAAACGAAAAGAAGGTAAACAAACCCAATGTGACTTTACGACCAAAGAGGTCCAGACGAATTAATATACATAGACACTACTTTTTAATTTACACGACAAATGTGCAGCGATCATAACAGATGCTAATCTAAGAAAATCGTTAAATTTTTCCAAAAACAAAGAGTAAAGTAAGCCTCAAATATTAAAATCCATCACTGTACACAACAGGTTTACTAAGGATAAAGATCCTTTTTGGTTTCATTTTTACTACATTGGAAAACCAAAGTTACTGGAGGTTTACCTGATTTCGGCTCGGAACAAGCAAGCGAATTTAAGTATTGTTCGCAGTTTCCATATTTCTTTATTTCTAATTCTTCAAGAATATTTTTATTATTGACTTGCCTACCGGCAATTGTCATTTTATAAAAAGTTTATAAGCCTTTAGCCAATCCTAGGGGAATGTAACAACAGAGTGTTGTTACATTTCGGCCCATGTC